ATGCGCTAGAAATGCTTTTGGATTACTCCTTACTGGTCCTTACTGGTTTATCAGGCTTATGGTCTATCAGGCTACTGTTCAAGTCTCCAAAATTTCTCGATTTCCACAAGGATACAATATAATCTGATAGCTGATTATATATAATCTGATAGCTGACATTATACAAATACATTTTCTAGTATATTGTACTTTGGAGTCGTGCAAGGCTCATATTTAGAGCGATGTTGAATCAAAGTTGTCATTGAATCAAGTAAATTGTCCAGAGCTCAATTGATAAGTTGATCGATTCGAGAAATATCCTCAGGCAATAACCATCATCTCTTTTTGACTCTTCCTATAGATTGACCCCTACTCGAGTGAATATCCTTGCCAGTACCCCTCCCCTTTTGTGACCCCTAAAATGACACATTCCCTCTCCATCTCTTCACCCTCACAACCTTTAGGATCTACGATATCTTCTCCTATTTTCTATTTCTCTATCCCATCCCCATCACCCATCATTTCTATGCTCATCTCATTTCTCCTATCCACTCTGACCCCATTTGTATCACTTTACGAGCCCATTTTTTATGATGTGTGATGAATTGTTTCCGTTCGCTTTATTTTCTTTTAACTCTTTGATTAGCCTTACTCTTTCATTAGCCTTACTCTTTGATTAGCTTCTTACTCTTTCTTTTAACCGTTTTGATCCAGAACGAGATTGAAAGCAGTAATCCTAAATTTTAAAGCAGTAATCCTTTTGTTTCCTTCTTTCCGAATCAATAACCTCGCTCAATTTGTCTCATAGATTTAAGTGGATTTAGGGGACAAGTAGAGGTGTCCATTTCCCGTCAGCTCCCCCTAGGGGCCTCGTCGATCATGAATCTATGGACTCGTGTGAATGAAAGGAGACTGACTCCTCCCTTTCTTTTCCCTTTTCTAGATCCACTCCATCTATAGACTCTTCCTATGCAAATGGGCATCTGCTATGTCCTTATGCCACTTATGTGACCCGTCTCTTTCCCTCAAAATATCTTCAAGTCTTCAATTTCTACTCCACATTTCCCCTAATCCCTTCAAGATCCCATTTGTTTTCGCTTTCGAAATTTATTGCCTTGACACCACTTTGTTCGGATTTTTTGTACTGTACTATTGTACTAAAGTACTGTACTATTGTACTAAAGTACTGTACTGTTGTACTAATGTGTACTAAAGTACTGTTACTGTTGTACTGTATAAAATTTAGATGTTATTAGGATTTGAAAATTGATTGTCTAGTTTGATTTGATTGTACTCGCCGACTATCTCCTTTCCTCTTTTCTATCTAACCCAGAATTTTCCTGGCTTTATTTTCTTTACCCTTTTTCAATGCCAATCTATTCTAAGCAATGTTTTCTATCTTGCAAACTTTTTCTGTGTGTATTTACTTCTTCTAAAATGCATTGCATTTCTCGCAAGCCGATACTAGTTGAGTGACTTTTTAGAGAAAACAAATGAGATGCATCCTCAATTTTCACTCCACAATTCCTATAGCTTTAAAGCTGCTATTTTGTTTTATTGTTTCAGAATTTGCATCCAATTTTTATATTGTATAGAAATTTTCATATTAAACGTTCCTTTTCTCATTCTTTAAACATTCCTCAACCCCCAAAAAGTCGTAAAAGTCAAACAATCAACTCCAAAAAGTACAGCGAAAGTCCAGATAGTGTTACCGGCTAAAAGATACAGTTCAAGTTTTCGAAATCATTGACTTTATTTAAAATCTTTTCAAGCAGATTTTACTGTAAAGCTTATCCTTTTAAAAAGTTGAAAATAATAAAAAAAACCATTTAAATGCGAGTGCCAATTTCAAAATCAATTCCTTTCCTTTTACTCAAAGCATTCAATAGAGGAGAGTCCTTTAAATCTATAGTGGAAATAGGGAGAGTCGATCGGTCATGCTGTCACTTTGTGTCAATGTGAGGGAGGGGATGGGTAGGAAAGGGCAGGGAGCAGCAGATTCAATGAGTTGTATCATTTTTTAAAAATCTTATCTCATTGTAGCTTTTCTTTTTTCTCTTGATGTTATTGTTGATATCACCGAAAATTGTTGCCTTTCTAGATCACTGATTGAATTTCAATGATCGATTCGATCATTGAAATTCCTTGGTATAATTGAGAAGTTTTTTTTAAACAATAAGCTAGACTGTTAGGTAGGCTTGCTGCTGTTTGTTAGGCTGTTTCCATTTGTCTAAAAAAAAAGTCGAAATTGGAATCGGAAGGGAGAAGAGGGAGGAATGAGGGATGAGCTCAATAGAGGAAGAAGGCTGTCAGTTGTCTCCCTTAGATAGAGAAGTCGAGATCTCATCCCTTTACTCTTTCTCTTTTCCCCCTTTCTCTATCGATATGTATGACCCTTTACCACACGACCAACCAACATCCAACATTTAGTGCAAATATATGGCCAATTGCTCTGTTCTCTCCCTTTCTCTTTTCCTGCGATTTATTACCCGCTCGCCCTTTCGCCTATTTAGATTTATGAACGCTTTTTGGTGTTGCCGATTTTGGGATGATGATTACTCTGACAGTTCATTAATATTTATCGTTTTTAATGGTGAGGGTTTATGGACTTCTTAAAGAAAGTAGAGACTTACTTAAAGTAGATTACCTTTCTTATCACCTTGACCATGGACTTCTTAAAGCAAGTCTCTATTACCTTTCTTATTACCTTGATTATGAACTTATTAAAGCAAGTCTCCCTTCCTTGTTACCTTGATCATGAACTTATTAAAGCAAGTCTCTATTACCTTCCTTGTTACCTTGATCATGGACTTCTTAAAGCAAATCTCCATTACCTTTCTTGTTACTTTGATCATGAACTTCTTAAAGCAAGTCTCTATTACCTTCCTACCTTGATCATGAACTTCTTAAAGCAAGTCTTCATTACCTTTCTTGTTACCTTATAGTGTACTTTATTCTTTACGAGTTATGTTTCACAAAGCCATTAGTCATTCTAAAAAGTACTAATATCTTCTGCTTACCATTCTACTGTCATTATAACTTTCAATATTTTCAATATAGTTTCGATTACCTTTTGAGTCTTGGTTAATGACAAGACTCACTAGGCCTTAGGAACAAAGGTTTTCTAAATTTTTGTCCTAAAAAGGATAAAATACTAAGTAAAGCTTTAGTTTTATCATATCGTGACTAAAGCTGGAGCGATTGCTGCAAAAAGCTATGAAATCTCGCATCAAATCCCAGTCATAAACTCTTAATGACTAACCCTATCCTTTAACGGACATCGAATCAGCTTGGGCACGTGTTTAAAGATAGATAGCAAAGAACAAATAAACCCGATCCCTAGAGGGACCTTGTAAATGTACACTAAAGCTCTCCTCTCTTTTCCTCATCATCAAATGAAAAGGCGATGGGAAAATATTTGCTCATCTACCCCGTAACGACATCGATTATTTGCGAGTGTGACAGAGAAAGGAAAGGGTTTACTTGTGCTTTTGCAACATTGCAATTTTAAAGTATTTTTAGAAATCCTAAAGTAAAACTTTGTGAGCTTTGCATTCCAACACCTTTCTTAATCTCAAATTTGTATTCTCTGATCACTTTTGAAGCTGTATTACTACAGTTTTAAATCGTATTCTAAAACGTCTCAAAAACGTCTTGAAAACTACCGTAATCTTGTCTCTAGTTTTTCCAATTAATCTATTTTCATTTTCATTACAAAAAGCTGATTTGTTTGATTAGAAAAAGAGCCGTATTGGAACGGTATTAGATCAAAAAAAGAACCGTATTGGAACCGTATTGGAACCGTATTGGAACCCTATTGGAACCGTATTGGAACCGTATTGGAACCGTATTGGAACCCTATTGGAACCGTATTGGACCCGTATTGGAACCGTATTGGACCCGTATTGGAACCGTATTGGAACCCTATTGGAACCGTATTGGAACCCTATTGGAACCGTATTGGACCCGTACTGGAACCGTATTGGAACCCTATTGGAACCGTATTGGAACCCTATTGGAACCGTATTGGAACCCTATTGGAACCGTATTGGACCCGTATTGGAACCGTATTGGACCCGTATTGGAACCGTATTGGAACCCTATTGGAACCGTATTGGAACCCTATTGGAACCGTATTGGACCCGTATTGGAACCGTATTGGAACCGTATTGGAACCGTATTGGAACCGTATTGGAAAAGAACCGTATTGGTTAAAATTAGAGATAAGATTCTCGAAAGTTTTCACGTTTTAGAAAACGCTGAAGATCAAACGAGTAAAATTTTACGTCATTATAAATCCATCAATACTTTTTCATCTTTAAACCATGTTCATCAAGTAATGAAGAGCATGACAGAGAACCCTGAAGGGGAATGACCAGGGTCAAGTGGCTCTTCTGGACCTTCCCGGACCTTCCCCCAAACCCATTTCCTTTTCTGTCTTCAAATTGGGTTTCATTTTACGTGTGTCCTCTTTTCCTTTTTTTCATTTCTTCATCATTTTTTTTGCTTCTTTGTCTTTCGTGAAATGTTTGTAAACGAACGAAATCCTTTTGGCCAAATCTTTTCAAATCAAATTGATCTCTTAAATTTTACGTCTGTTAATCGTCGTAGATCTGTTAATTTTAAATTTTTTTTATCTATAGTTGTTGAACGAACATTTGACGACTTCAATTGCAATTTCTGCAAAAGCTGAAAAGAGGAATGGGTGGCAATTCAATTACCCATTTCCCCCTTTCTTTTCGCCTTAATCCCAATCATTTGGCTATGCCAATAGTACTATTATCTAACTATTACTAGCATTTATCATAGAAAGACTTTGGAAAATCTATTCAATACCTTATCATCTTAAAGCAAGTCTTTATTTTTGGTACACAAATCTTTATATAAACTTTTCTGTGTCAAATCTGTGCACATCAAATTCCACAAATTCTTCTTTTCATAATAATTTCTTTTTTTTCTATTTTCATTTCTTGAAATCCTCTACCAAAATTATTAATTCCTTAAAGGATCCAAATGCAAAGATGAGCACGAACAGCACAGAGAGTTCAATAGAAAAAGTGACCCAACAAAAAGAAGAGAATGATGGAGATTCTAGAAAAGACGGACTCCCATCCACATCGAGACCCTATATTCGATTGGCTTCTGAGCTTCGAAATCTCACAAAAGATTTGGGTGATGAGGTTGGTGAAGAGATTATGTTTTTAAAGCTTTTAAAGCTTTTAAACTTTTTAATTGAAGCTTTTAAACTTCTGCCTTCAGGTCCGTTTCCGATGTGAGGCGCTCGGCACTCCACCGCTGACTTTCAGGTAAAAATTTATTGTTAGATTAAATTTTGTCTGACTACAATATCCTACAATAAATTAGTTTAACAAGTATCCAGCGAACAAGACTGAATATCACAAAATTCTTCTTGAAACGTAGCAAAAGAGATGCTAAGCTAGATTTATCGGTGAATAAAAATCGATTACGATAGCTAGAAAACTGGCTAAAAATACTAGAATATTCAGTTATCTGTGATTTCAATTTGCCCGTTAACTTAGTCGATAAGTAAATCTAGTTTAAAAAATGCCTTTAGGAAAAAGCATTGATTCTGGAGTTGGCATTATTATCCTTTAAAAGTTACCCTTTTCAGTTGGTTAAAGAACCAAGCTCTCGTCGAGAAATCGCGTCGAATAAAGATCAAAACGAGAGAGAATTCTTCCCGTCTCGTCATTCAACATCTCGATGTTCTCGACAGCGGGTAGTTTATCAAATAAAGAAAAGCACTATTAAAGAAATGAAGGAATTGGCAAGTAAAAATAGATTTCCGGAGAGGGGATTGTACCCCGATCTCTTAGTTTCACTGCAGCAGCTGAGCTGAGCCGAGCCTCAAGCGGCTGAGCTGAGCCTCAAGCGGCTGAGCTGAGCCTCAAGCGGCTGAGCTGAGCCTCAAGCGGCTGAGCAACCACTGCTCTAACCACTGAGCTATTCGATAGCTTAATCTGCTGAGAGAAAGAGGGAAAGATAAGAGGAAAGAAGAAAAAACTTCAAAAATCACTTAAAAATCAGAACAAAAAGTATTAGAAATAAAACAAAACAAGTAAAAAAGGTAAATCTCGGCAAATTTCATTAAAATAGCTTTTTCATTTTTGTTTTCAGTTACTATCAATGTGTGGTGAGCAATTCGGCCGCTTCAGTCAACACGACAAGCGTCTTGAGGGTGAGTTGGGTTGAAAATCTTTTCAAACCTTTTTTTCCTTCCAAAGAATTCTATCCAAAAGTGACACGTGCAATCTCCTTTCCATCCAGCTTTCCCTCTAAATTTCCCCTTTTTTCCCAATGAGGCCAGCTGGGTGTGTAAATATTCATTTGAATTCACACACTTGTGTGGCCTCAAAGAGTATTTTCTTTCAAAAACTTTTATCTTCACATAGATTTTTGTAAAATTAAGAAATTGCTTGCCTGAAATGTTTCCTAACTGTACTGTAGTACTGTAGTACTTCAACTGTATCCTTTCATTTATTCAATAGATCCAATAGATCAATGAGCTTCATCAACTCTAATATTTAAGATTAGGATTGAGATTAAATTAAGATTTAGTAGCTTTACGCTTTAGTAGCTAACAATTACGGTAGCTTTGTATACCTTTTAGAAAACGTTGAGTAACCACTGCTCTAACTAAGAACTTGAAATTTACAAGCTGCTTACTGCTTACTGCTTACTGCTTACTGCTTACTGCTTACTGCTTGTAGCTGCTTACTGCTTGTAGCTGCTTACTGCTTGTAGCTGCTTACTGCTTGTAGCTGCTTACTGCTTGTAGCTGCTTACTGCTTGTAACTGTTTACTGCTTGTAACTGTTTACTGCTTACTGTAAATTTCAAGTTCAAGTTCAAGTTCAAGTTTCAAGCCTTACACGCTTCAAATTACTTGTTTAAATAAAATTTTTTTAAACAAAAGTAATCCAAGAGCTATATGTTAAACTGTAAATTATATCCGAAGTACATTTGCATAGATTGGTCATCACCAATCATCAGATGGATTGTTGTGGTCAGAAAATGGAGAGATTTTCGAGGGAGAGTGGAATAGAATAGAATGGAATGGATTCTTCCTAAATAGAATGGATTCTTCTTTTCTTTCCTTTCATCGCCTTTCATTCAATTCACACACCCATTCCTCTCTTTTATTTCATTTCTATTCTCTTTTCCCCGCAATCAAACCCCACTTCCAAGTACTACAAAAGTACTTTTTACATAGTATTACTTGTTTATTTATTGAAATGTAGAACTATTTTAGCTTATTCTTAAGACTATATAGTATTGCTTATTAATGTAAAATAGAAAACTAAACTATTTAGCTATTTAGCTATTTAGAAAACTAACTATGCAGCTATTTAGTACTAAGCTATTTAGTAAATCTAGAGTAATTACCGTAAATACTGTAATAGTACCCCACCCCCCTCGTACAGTCGCGTAGTCGCAAAAGTTTTTTAGTATTTCATTTTTTTTCAAAGCGCCCGTACTTTCAAAAAATGCGTCTTTGGTATCAAAAAATAGCCCTGAATTCCAGCTATTTTTTGATACCTAAGCGTGCATTGTAGCATAAACCAGTGTCGAGAAAAACGCGTTCAAAGCTAGACTACGCAACACTCCGCACCGTCATTATAGGGGTGGGGTAGTATTACAGTATTTAAAGTAGGTCTATTCTCGTTATCCAGTAACATTCTGCCTATCTTTATAAGTCTTATATGCAATTTTATAAACCAATCAATTGAATAATAGCTATATTTTTATATTCTTAATTTTCTATGGATCTCTTGTTGCTAATTGGATCTTCGTTCCCCTGAAAGTCGCTTAGTCATCGTAAAATTCCTCCTAAACCGCAAATTCTTTGTCTTCTCTAGGTCCTCTAGGTTGCGAAATGTGTTCTGCGAATTCTTTTCTCTACTGAATTCCTATTTCATTCCATTTTTCTGAATTTCAGGGATCTTTTTCATTCTATGAATAAGAAAATGTTGTAGTTAATGACCCAAAAAGGCAAAGGAAGAAGAGCAGAACCCATCTTTCCTCATCAACTAAATATAATACAAACTAGTTATTCAAGCTTTACTTTACAGCTTGAAGCTTACAGTTATTCAAGCTTTACAAAGGCTAAACAATATATACTTAGCTTATTATCTAAATAAAGCTCTTTTAAATTATTTGAAACATAAACTACATAGTACGGATCTTTGAAAACCTCATAGTCAGCTCTAAAGTGTGATCCGTGATAAATACTCAACCATATTGAGCCATTCTCCTCGTTAACATCTATACTCATATTTCTCGAAAATTTCCCCACTTCTAGCAGAAATGAGAAGGAAAGGATTGAGAAAAAGAAAGAGAATTGACAAATGAATGCCCACTTTTCATTCCTCACATCCATTTCCCCAAAAAAAAGCGGCCAAAAAAAGAGAAACTTTTCCCTTTTCACACAACCATTTTTTTCCCTCTCTTTTTTTCACCAGATTGCAACTGAGATAGACGAGAGAAAACAGAGGGAATCAACTCCGAAAAAAACAAAGAATTTTGATCGGCATGTTGATTCTCGACAATTCTTTTGCAATATCAGATTCGAATATTTTTAGATATTTTTAGAAATCAGAAAATGTAGTTTTTTTTATAAAAAAACAATAGGAAACATAATTTTGCATAAAATATTGGCTACGTAAATCTATATATATATATATATATATATGCTTTATTCAGTTGAATAGCGACAAAACAAAATGACAATAATTACCCGGGACACCACTCAAAACACTCCAAAAGATAAATAGATACCTCAAGAAAGAATCACAGAGAGGTCAAATCAATTGCGCGAAATTGCGGCTTTAAATCTAGCAAAGGCTTAGGCTTAGGCTTAGGCTTAGGCTTGGACTTAGTGCGTAGGCTAGCTGCTGCGCCTAGCACTAAGTCTATTTGGGTTTGGGCTGAACCCCCATTTTTTGGATCTCAGCGAGTTCTGGGAGCTAAGGGACACCTTTTTGGTGTTGTGCATCCGCCCCCCATAGAAGCATCCTGGCAAATTTTCAGGTCGATCTCATGTCTGGAATTCGAGATCTGACATGTCGATTTTGGGCTTTTTTTGACATAGCCTAAAACGTCGAGATAGGTCCAGCTGAGTGCCCTGAGTCGATTAAAAAAATTTTTTTTTTTTTTTTGATATTTAGGGTCTGGGAAAAAAGTGGCAGTTTTGGGAGCTAAGGGACACCCGTTCGGTGTTGTGCTTGCGCCCCCCAGAGGAGCATTCTGGCCAATTTTCAGGTCGATCCCATGTCTGGAATTTGAGATCTGACCAGTCGATTTTGGGATTTTTTTGACATAGCCTAAACCGTCGAGATAGGGCGAGCTGAGTGCGCTAAATCGATAAAAATTTTTTTTTTTTTTTTTTTGACCTTTAATTAAAGTGTGACTTTTTCAGTCCTCGACCCCGCCATGATAAACCCCCGGTTTTTTCGCTATATTTCGGTGTTTCTCGACGAACTGAGTTGTTTGACATACGACAAGACGGGTCTGGCAACGATTTGAGATTTTCGAAAAATCGAAGCTTTTCCAATGAAAACACAAAAACGCGTTTTTCACCTCTTAGGAGGCGTTTTTGAGGGTCGTCATCAGGTGTGGACCCACTTAGACTCAAAATTTTAAGGGGAATCCAACGGTGCAAAGATCGAGACAATCAGACAAACGGTTCACGAGAAAAATTCTTTTGAAAAATTTTGAGTTTTTTGGTTTCGGGTTTTTGTGTGTAAAATCAAATTTTTAGTCATTTTTTCTCTGAGATATCGTAAAACGTCAAGATAGATCGAGCTGGGCCCCTAAAGGCTCGCTGACAAAAAAGATTTTTGGACTTTGAAATTTTTACTTTGATGTTGCCGACACCGCCCTTAGAACTTGCCGCCGCTCAAAGCACCATAAGAAAATGCGACTAACACTAATTGAAAGGCCTACCGGGAAGCTCCAATTTTAGCAGCCTTGGAGGTTGAGGCAGCCCGTGTTGAGTCAGCTCCAAATGACCTGTCCCCACCACAAAACTCAAAAGTTCCTTGATCCAGTAGCCTATCGTGGTGGCAGTGATTGGGTGATGAGGGGCTTTTATGGAGAAGAAGACTTTATCCGGATATTTATCTTTTATCCAATAAAAAAGTGCCGGCAAAGCCCCGGAAATCTTTGTTAGAAGAGTGGACTCGGGGTTTTGCCGGCCATTTACCAAGGGAGTCGCTGGCAAACCCCGTCAGAGCATTTAATTCGGTGACTGCCGTTCATTTACCAAGGAAAATTGCCGGCAAACCCACCAAATCCGGCAAATCATTGTTAGAACAGAGAATTCGGGGTTTTTGCTGGCCATTTACTAAGAAAAGTGCTCGCACAGACCGTGAGAACGGCAAACTCCGGGTTTGTCGGCTATTTACTTAGAAAAGTGCAGTGCCTGCAAAGCCCCGGGAATCACTGTTAGAATAGTCAATTCGGTGATTGCCGGTCATTTATCAGGGAAAATTTCTGCAAACCCCGTGAATCACTGTCAGTGAATTCGTTTGACGGGCATTTACTAACAAAAGTGCCTTCAATTCCGGTCAGAATAGTGAATTCGGGATTTTCCGACCATTTAATTAGAAAAGTGCCGGCAAAGCGCAGAACTGACACTGTCATCAACATTCTCTCCAATGAATTAACTTTATCCACATTTGATAATAACAAGATTCCCACAGCTCTTGATCAATCTATTACCAATTACAATAGTCCTGAGTTATTAAAAATAATTACTTCGGTTTACTTGATTTAACTGACGCTATCTTAACAAATCTTTCATAAATCTCAATAGAACCTGTTATTATCCATAATTTTCAATTATTTAACATTACCAACACGCCTCCACCTATCTGTCAGACACCATATTGGAACTCTTCATTAATCATTCATTCACGAATCACAATTGTCCCTAGTTACTAACAATTGCTTGCGTTTACTTGATTTAACTAAGGCCATCTTAACCAATCTTCCATAAATCTCAATAGAGCCTGTTACGAGCCATAATTTTCATTTATTGAACCTAACCAATAGGGCTGTCAGAAACCATAATAGAACTCTTCACTATTCATTGATATCTCTTATTACTGATTGTTATTATTATTATTATTGATCTTATTACTCACAGAAGGTTTTAGTAGTATTGAGTGTAACCTTTTATTAATCCAAACGCGCTGTGGGTGCAACAGAATATTATGTAAACCACAGCATCAAATGTCCCTTTTAATAGGTTGTCCCATAAAAAATTGCCGTTTTTCAAAAATTTTTATTTTCAACACAAAACAAAAAGTAACAACGTAGATCAAACAATATATTTTCCATGATTATCATAGACATTTAACCAACGTTTTGGTAACTTTGCAAGTCCACACTTGTAAAAATCGGGTCGGCGTAAAAGAAA